TTGAACCCAGGAGGTGAAGGTTGCAGTGTGCCGAGATCACATCTCTGCACTCCAGCCTGGGCGAAAGAGTGAAACTGTCTCAAAAAAAAAAAAAAAAAAATGCAGCCCCCATCTAAAGGCAAAGATCGCTCTTCACCTGAGAATGTGGGTCCCATGTTGCCATATCTCCCATTTCTCAAGAGAAGCTGGAGATCTAGCTTCTTATGTGAAATCTCCCAGTCTTGAGAGAGTATCAACACATTTATGAACTTGAAAACACACTAGGCAGGCCAAGCAAAACACCGCCGCAGACCAAGTCGCACCAGTGTGCGACTTCTGGTTCCAACCATAGATCAAGATGAAGCACTAACAATCACGAAAGCCTTACTCAACATTCACCGAAGCTGGGCGGTGCTCAGAAGACCTGTGCTCAGAAGCCTTCACACGCCTCATCAACTGATTCCTCATGACATCTCTATGATCCACTTGAACAGATGAGGAAACTGAGGCTCAGGGAGGCAAAGAGACCTGTCAGGGCCAGGAACAAACGCAGGTCTTTAAGGAGCAAATGCCAGTCCCAGAGAAGAGCAGGAACTTGTCCAGGGCTGCAAATAATGTGGCTGGCTGGCTGGGACTGAGCAATTTCCCATTCCCTCCCTGGTCAGGGTGAACAGCCTTGGAGGAGATAGACGCCTGTCAGAACTGCCCAGCCAACCCTGACACAATGCAGGCCATGGCGGCAGGGGAAGAAACTACCTTTTATCTCCTTGAAAAATGCATGGATAGGCATTAAGAATGTTCTAAACCCCAATTAGCCAGGTGTGGTGGCGGGTGCCTGTAATCCCAGCTACTCAGGAGGTAGAGGCAGGAGACTTGCTTGAGCCTGGGACGCAGAGATTGCAGCGAGCCGAGATCACGACATGGCACTACAGCCTGGGCGACAAGAGCAAGACTCCATCTCAAAAAGAAAAAAAAAAAAAAAGAATTTTCTAGACCCAGAGCCTAATGCCCCCAGTTTCTCCACCTCACAAATCTGGGAAATTGGACTAGAAACCCCAGTTACCACCCGACCAGACACTCTTACCAGGCGCTTCCAGGACTGAGCTGGAGACACATCCAGCCACATGGCTTGGGACCTACTCCCTGAGAGCTGGTGACAACTTAGACACGCTGAATGTGATGCTTTCTGATTAAAAACTTGGCTGGGTTTCCCTTCCTCGGTGAATTTTCCTAGTTATTAAGGAGGGAGAACTAACTGTAAAAATGGGCCGCTCAGGAAGTTAAGGAACTGGTCCCTTCAAGAAAGATGTATTCAGATTCCATTATGTGTGAGGTACTCACGGCATTGGGTACAGAGAGGGATATGGAGTGGAGGGCCCTGCCTCGGATTTTGAGGGTTTCTAGTAACCCCCAGGAGGAACCTACAGAAACCCCATGAGCTTCCCCTTCTGAACACGGACATTAATTCTGACATGTGAAAGACTTTCATCCATTGAACAGCATTGTGCTGGCTCAGTGCCCAGACCACCTGCTTCCAAACGCTGGCCGTGCTGCTCACTGACTGTGTGACTTTAGAGAATCCACTCGACCTCGCTGGGCCTCAGTTTCTCCACATGTAAAATGGGAATAACAATAGTCTTAGGTATGTGACAGGGTTGTTAATATGTCTTATAGCAGTTTTAGGGCCACACTGGGGCTTCCCCTCCTGTAAATGGGACTAATAACAGTATCTACTTACCAGAGCTGTGACCAGGATTCCAGGAGTTAATGCAAAGGAACAAAGCACTTGAGACGGTGGCTGGTATACAGGAAGCACCAGACACACACACACTTTTTTTTTTTTTTTTTTTTTTTTTTTTTTTTTTTGAGACTTCTCTTGTTGCCCAGGCTGGAGTTCAGTGGCACAACCTCGGCTCACCACAACCTCCGCCTCCCAGGTTCAAGTGATTCTCCTGCCTCAGCCTCCCGAGTAGCTGGGATTACAGGCATGCACCACCACACCTGGCTAATTTTGTATTTTTAGTAGAGACGGGGTTTCATCATGTTGGTCAGGCTGGTCTCAAACTCTGGACCTCAGGTGATTCACCCATCTTGGCCTCCCAAAGTGCTGGGATTACAGGTGTGAGTCACTGCGCCCGGCCCAGGTGCACTCTTACTACTGATATTAAAGAGCTGTTGACAATTTGACTTGCTGGTTAATTTGCATTGATATCTCCACAGTTGGGCTATTCTTAAAAGTTAGAAGAGCGTTTCCTCCAAGAGACTTTCTCATTAAGAATTTCCACTGACTCAGAGCAAAGGGCTCCTCCTCTCCATCATCACGGATGAGAGAGACCTTCCAGTCAGTGGTTCCAGTTCTCTCCCTCCTGGTCTCAGCTTGGTCCCGCTCGTGGGGCTCACTCACACCCACTCATATGCATCTCCCAGCACCCCAGGAGAAGGTGAGCCAGGTAACGTTGTCCACACCTGATGGATACAAAACTGAAGGTCCTGTAGCTTCCCAAAGGTCCAGTGTCATGTGCTTTGGGACGGGGGGGCTTAAGCACAAACACCTGAGTCCCAGGCTCAGGGTGGTATTCGAGCCAGGGATGTGGCTCTGGAGTCCCAGGCCCACCACGTTCTTTAAGCAAGTCACCTTGGTGTCTTCATCTGTAAAACGGGGGTGACAACAGTACCTACTGCCTAGATTTGTTGCAAGGATTGAATGAGTTCACACTGAGCACGATGCCTGCCACACCAGGGCACATTTGAGTGGCACGATGCCTCCTAGGTAGCCTAGCAGAGTCTTGGTCTACGCCTGGTAGCCTAGCAAATCTTCCAGTTAGAGCCCCCTGTCACTCTTGAAAACATCCTGGTTTGGAAGAAAATTATATGGCCATCCTAACATAATTGCCTGTTGCCATCTAAATTATTATTATTGTTATTATTATTATTTTCCATCATACCACAATGAGTCGCCAGGAAGTGAACATGTTGCCTCAAAATAGGTCAGCACTTCAGTGCCACTCTTAAACCCAGGTGAGAGTGGCCCTTGCTCTGGTCCCCCCGAGTCTGGCCCTCCTCCAGCTAACTTCTCATCACAGGGAGGGAAGACCATGGGAACGAGCAGACATGCCCACCAGGAGCTTGTGCCACCTCCACTAGAGCATACTCTGAATTCCCAGGCCCCTGGAGTTCCCTGCACAGATGGCCCTGAGCCCACTGCCAGGACCTATGTGGGTCTCTTCCCCAGATCCCGCCTGAAGAGAGAGTGTACCATGAGTGTGCCGAGCCCTAAGCCTGAGGAGTGACCAAGGGACAGAGCTTGCACGTGCAGACTGAGATGTTCACAAGTGTGCACAAGGCCCTTGAAGGACAGTTCAGAGGCGGAGGTGGGAAAAGGTAGGGGGCAGGGGCACAGGCCAGGCACTAGCGGCCCCTCTCCCTGCGCCACCAGCTCCAGGGCAAGGTCTGAGGAGTATGAGAAAGCCACACTCAAAGCCAGCTTCCCGCCTTGCTAGGAAAGTGGATTCATCAAGATAGAGGAATAAAACATATTTTATTTTGCATTTTGTTAGCTTGATTTATAACCTGCAAATATTTGGACATATGGTATGTGAACCTCCCTCCATCTGTACTCTTGCCCAGCCCCACAAATCCCTGTCACCTTCCGCCCGGTCCCAATACCAAGTGTTTACTGAGCCCCTCCTCTGTTCTGAGCCCAGGGGACTCCAGGGCACCATCTCCAGCGCCCAGACATGATGGCCTCTGTAGGAGCAAACCTCATACTCCAAAATCAGTGAAGAACTGGCGTCAGGGGTGAGGGCATAGACCTGGTCCTTGCCTCTGCTCCCAACCCCTAGGGAGGTGAGGTAGGTCCTTCCCTTTCTGGGCCTTAGTTTTGCTGTTTAGGTAAGAGGCCCCTCTAGCTCTGAGCAGTCTGGAGGGTCAGGGGCACACAGAATCAGATCAGTGACCTGAGAGGGCGTGGCCTGGGCTTGGGCAGACAGTTCTTAGGGGTTACTGTGGTGTGGAATTGAGCTTTCTGGACTAGCCAAGCAGTCCATTCCATTCCATTCATTTATTCCTTCCACAAACATGGCAGCCACCCCTCTGTGCCCGAAATCAACAAGAGGCTGAATCCGCCTAGTATGGGAGGATAATTAGAACAAGCACTCAGAAAACCAAATGCTAAGCGACACTTGGTGAGTGGGCAAGAGAACTTCCCTAAACTCCTCCTGTCCTCCCAATCTCGGCGTCTTAAGCCCACTTCTCGGATGAGAAAACGGAGGCGCAGAGTCAAGACCCTGCCGCCTGAGGCGCGCCCAGATCTTGTGGCTAGCCAGAAGCAAGGTTTCGGATTCCCACTGTCTCGGGCCGCTGTCCCAAGCTGCCCGAAGTGGTGAGGCCCCGTCCAACTCCCGGAAGGCTGTAGGGAGGTGAGCGCCAGGGAGTGGCTGGGCCGCTAGACTCGGGGGCCAGGAGGCAGGGAGGGGCCGGGCAGGGGGCGGCCGGGCGACGTCCAGCGCCCCGGTGCGCGGCCCGGGACACCCGGAGCGCCAGCGCCTGGGCGCGCGCGAGTGGCAGCAGCGCTCCGGTGGGTCCGCCGCGATCCAGTCGGGGTCTGGGCTCCAGGCGCCGGCGGGGGGCGGTGGCGGGGGCGGCGAGGGCCGCGCTGCAGTGCACGCAGCGTCGGTTTGGGGGAGCTGTGCCCGCCTGTCCCCGAGGCCGGGGCGGCGACCGGACAGCTGGGTCGCCGCGCCTCTAGCCGGGCCGGGCTCGGCGGCGCGCAGCCAGGCGTGCTTGGAGCGGGCTCGGGCCCCAAGTCCTCCCAGACGCCTGGCCGGGGAGGCCCCCGGAGCAGCCCAGTCCCGCGGGCTAGGGCGGCAGCCGCCGCCGCTCCGGCCCGCCCCCGGGGGGTGTCCCGGGCCGCTGGGCCCGCCCAGGTAACCCCATCCTCGGCCCGCCCCCGGCCCGCCCCCCCGGCCGCCCGCCCGCCCGCCCGCCCGCCTCCGCCGCCGCCGCCGCCGCATCCCGGCTCTGGGGCGGCGCTGACAGTCTGGTCCGCGCTGGGCAGCGGGCGCAGCAGCGGGCAGGCGGCCGGCAGGCACACGGAGGCAGAGCCCCGCCGCGCGCGCCCCGGCCCGCGTCCAGCGCCGCACCCCGGCCCGCCCGCGGGCGCCCACCTGCCGCCCCGACGGGAGGCCTCCCGCGGCCGCAGCCGCTGCCCCGGGCCGGGCGCCCGCGGCGGCACCATGAGTCCCCGCTCGTGCCTGCGTTCGCTGCGCCTCCTCGTCTTCGCCGTCTTCTCGGCCGCCGCGAGCAACTGGCTGTAAGTCGGGCCGGGGCGGGGCGGGGCGGGGCAGGCCCCGGGGGCAGCGGCCGGTGCCAGGCGGCGCGGGGCAGCGGACGCGGGGCGCCCGGCAGGTGTCTCCGCCGCGGGACCTGAGGCTCGCTCGCTCCGCTGCGGCCGCCACGACCCCAGCCTCCCTCTGCACACCCGGAGTCCCCTCCTGCCGGGGTCCGGCTCCCTGCGCAGAGGCGGCAGGGGTGGCGGCGGCAGCGTCCGGTGGCACCCATAGGCGGCTCGGGGCGCTCGAGGGCACCAGGGGTGCGAACGCGGGGCGGTGGCCCGGGAGGGGCGTGGGGCGCGGGGTGCAGCTCAGCCGGGCTGACAGGTCGCCGAGGAAGCCCATTGCAGGGAAGGGCTCCGGGACATAATAGCAGGTTAATCCCGAGAAGTCCGGAGCGAGCTCCCCGCGCCGAGCTGCGCCGCGCTGCGGGCTGGGCTGGAGGCGTGCAGGAACCTGTTTGTGCTTGCGGGGCGGGAGCCGGAGATAGAAGGAAGGGACCGGGACGCCTGGTCTCTCAGGGCCCCGGGCCTTGGTTTTGCCCTGGGGCAGGAAGAAACTCCATCCAGACCTTAAAGAAGATAACGGCCCCCACCTCCCCGAGTCTCGCCTAAGGAGGAAGGGGTGGTAACCGCTGGTGACCTGTCTGTTTCTCCTTGACTGGGTCTGCGCTCAGGGCGCTCCCTGGGTAGGGGCGGAAGGTTTGCTGGGGGGAGGGGAACTAAAGGGACGAGCTCCAGTGAGTGGGTGGACAGGGAGCAAGAGGACCTGCCCTCTGTTCATCCCCGCTCAGAGACGCTTCCCCATGCCCCACGCTTGACCCTGGCCCCAGTTCCTCCTGCTCAGAGCTCTGCCACCATCCGCTGTGGGCAGCCAGTGGGGAGCCAGGCTCCAATATTGATCTGAAAAGCATGGGGTGGGAAGGGGGATCGCCAACAGTGTAGCTGGGGTTTCCATGGAGACAGGGAGAGAGGAAAAAATTCTCTCTGCATCAAGACCAAAGAACAAATATCTCCCATGAAATTGCCCCGAGTGTCCAATGGCTGTTGCTATGAGGTCATTGTGGCCAGCCGGAGCCCTCCAGGCTGGAAGGAGCCTGTTCGCTGGGGTCAGAGCCACCCAGGGCTTGGGGGACGGAGGTGATGTGGAATTCTCCCAGCTGTTCGGAGAGCAAACTCCAAGACAGCCCGAAGTGGCTGCAGAGCTTTTGTTTTTCTTGGAGCCTTAATTTGATTAACACTTCAGGAGCAGTGGCAGAGTGTACAGAAACCAGGGCACCACCACCTTCTCTCACTGCCCCCCTGCAGTCCACCCCCCTGAATGCTGCCTGGGTCGCAGAGCTGGGGAGGTAGCTGATTTGGACTTGAAGGACCCTGGGGGGTCCCTGGAGCTGGTTCTTGTATGCATGCGTTCAGAGCTGGGGTCTCCGAAACAGAGCTGGGCATCAGGAGGAGCAAGAACTGGGTCCCACCTGCCCAGCACCGCCAGAGCCACAAAAAAGCAAAGACAAAAAAAAAGTGGCAGTCCAAGCATCTGGCCCAGGCCTGCATGGAAGACAGCGACATCTGCAGTGGAAAGTCGTTCCGGAGCATCTGGTCTTCGACTCATTTTACAGATGAGGAAACTGAGGACTAGGGAGGGGACGCTACTTGCCCAAACTCAGAGCTAAGCACTGAACCCAGGTGTTCTGGCTCCCAGGCAGTGGCCTTATACCCCCTTCCCTGAAGCTGCCCCAAAGCGCAGCCAGCATGGCCTGGGTGGCATCACCACTCACCTTCACCCATGTCTGCCCCCAGAATCCCAGCCAGGAAGGCAACCCCGGCTTTGGATCGCACAAACCATGGGGAATTCCAACAACTCAGTTCTCCTGCCTGTGCTGTTGGGGGTGGGGTGAGGAGGGGTGGCCTAGGAGGAGAAGAGAGGTTGGCAAACCTGTTCTCTGCAACGGTGATGGTTCACGTTGCCACGAAGCAGGTCTCTGGATGACCTAGCTCACTCCTGCTCCACCCCTGGCTTCAAGCCAAGGGTCTCTCTGCTCTGCCCAAGGCAAGAGGAACAAGGGGCTTCCCAGGACCCTCCCAAACCAGAGAGGCTATGAAGGAGCACACACCAAGGTTGGGTCCGATATTTATCAACCTCCATCAAACCATCAGCTGGCCACGGACGGCAGTGCTGGGGGAAATGGATGTCACAGCCTGGCCTCCCACAAGCCTGGAGTCTAGGTAGAGAGACATGATAAAACCACAAATGGGTGGAACAAGGCGCATGCTCTGTGACTGTCAGAGGGAAGAGCTGAGTGTGAGCCTGAGCAGGCAGAGAGGGACTTGGTCTGAAACTGTAGGATCATGACAATAATAATTATTATTATAATGACTCCTACTGCACGATCTAAATCCCAACAACGTTTCAATGCCATTACAGGCAAGAAAGCTGGGGATCCTAGAGGTAACTGCCCAAGTCACCCAGCTGGTAAACGGCAGAGGTGTCCGACTGAAATGCTGCCTCTAGAAGGAAAAGCTCAGACAGGCAGGTGGCCCTGCAGGCATGTGCTCCTGCAGGCGTGGTGGCTGGTACTGTGTCTTTTCAAGTGTGAGGCATGAGGAATCCTGGCCGCAAGAGGAGAGTGGACAGCAGCTGCCAAGGAGCAAGGTCTGCGTTCAGCTCCCCTCCCAATCCCTGGAGTCAGGCTTCGGTCCAGGGTGGGTCTGCTGGCCGGTGGCAAGAGACAGGGCTATCCGTTGTCTCAGAAGGGCGTGTGGCCTGGTGAGGAGGCCAGGTGTCCTGCCGCATGCAGATGTTGCATAGGATGGAGGCTGGGGCTGGGAGGGCAGCCTGAGGCCTGGGCAGGTCCGGAGAAGCTGGGAGCTGTTGATTAGACTCTCCTGTCTGGCACCCAGAGGAGCCGGCTGACAGCTTGTGACAGCTCCCACTACCGAGTGAGGGCCGGATACAGAGTCGCTGGGGGAAGGAAGGCTGGGACTCTGCCCTAAAGGAGGCTGCCCTGCCATGGACCTGAGCTCAGAAATGTTTCTGAATGTCCCCTCTTCCCTGCACTGACGCTGTGCCGGGAGTCAGGACACTGGGTTCCAGTCCCAGCTCTGGGCCACATATTGGGTGGCCCCTTCCTCCCTCTGGGCCACAGTCCTCAGCAGATTGTTCTGAACCCCAAATGGAAGGGCTGGGGAAGGTTAGGGAATAAATAAACTAAGGTTTCAGGATTTCGGATCTCTCAGAGGAAGGTAGTGGGGTAGCAGGGTTCTAGCAGAATCTCACTGGTGAGGGATGGGAGCCCATGCTGCACTCAGAGACAGGCCAGTGGCATGGCCAAGAAGCAGATCTTTGAGATCCAACTGAGTTCTGCCCTGCGAAGCTGAGTGACCCTGGACAGGTTACTCAACCTCTCTGAGCCTCGGGTTTCTTATCTGTAAAATGGTTCCCACCGATCCAAATGGTGCACGAAGGTGGTTGAGAAGAGTCAGCTCATGCATGTAGCAAGCTGGCATGGGGCCAGCCACACTGACGGAAATGGCAACCGTGCCAGCTGCTGGAACCAAGGGCTGCTGTCGGGGAGCTGCAGGGCCATGTCCCTATCGATAGGGGTGGTGGAGGAAACAAGCTTTCAAGCTGCTGCTCCCAAACTCTGTTTATCCCAGACTGGCCGGCCCAGATCCACTGATCTCACACAGGTAGGATCTTTCCGAGTGCACCTGTGGGTGCACTCGGAAAGCTACAACCCCCTTGCTCAATAAGGGTGCCTACAGGAGCTTCCCAGAGTCAGGGAGCCCTAGCCTGGCTCACAAGCCCATCTTGCTGGCCAGAGGAGTTGCTGCTTTTAGTGCCCTGGGGGAGATGAAGGAGGCATCACGGCTTCACTGGCTCTGAGTCCGACTTCGGGCCAAGCTCCCCTAAGCCTGCTTGCCCGGGGGCAGGGGGCCTTTTACATCTCCCTTGGCCATGGGTGGAGTCCAACACTCTGGATACAACTCCCTGGGGCAGGGATGGGGCAGAGCCAGCCCAGACGTGCAGTGCCAGCCACACAAGTACAGATGTGGCCCATCTCCCCCACGAAGTGTCCCCCTGATTCCCAGCTTTAAAAGATCCCTCTCTCCCCTCTGAATAGTCAAAAGCCCATCTCCTTGGAGCTCCTCCATGGCTCTGGGCAGTGAATTGCAATCACAAACACGCTCACTGTACTTTACAGTTCACACCAGGCTTTCTCAACCTCCATATCACTGATACTTGGGACTGGATACTTCTTCTGTATGGGTCTTTTCTGTGCATTGTAGGATATTTAGCAGCATTCCGGACCCTTACCGGCTAGATAGCCAGTAGCATCCCCCCAGGTAACAACACAAAATGTCTGTAGATTTTGCCAAATGTCCCCTAGGGGATGGGGGTGCAAAATCATCCCCCCATTAAGAATCAATGGTTTACAAAGACCTTTCCCAACCGATTACCCTATTTGAACCGCACACCCTCCCCTCCAAGCCTCACCACACCGCTTTCGGAGGAGAGGAGTGCATATTGCTTTCAGCTCCACTTCAGAGGCCGAGCAGTGCAGTGACTTCCCCAGGGTCATTCTGCAAATCAGAAGCAGGACTGGAATTGCTCTCACATGTCCAGATTTTATGGTTTTCATCCCCTGCCTATAGCACCATTTCATATTATATGTAACTTCAGTCTAATAGTGTGGTTTCTTTACTGCTTCTACAAGGTTATAAACATCTGGAAGCCGTGGCTGTGACATAAACACCTCTGAATATCTCACAGTGCCTGGCACGTGCCTGCCGGGCACTAGGTGCTCAGCCATCTTTGATGGATGAATGGAAGGCAGGCTTGTTCCCAGAGGGTTCCCAGCTGTTGTCCAATGGTAGCCCATCTTCAAAGGCCTGGAGTAGGAGGAAGGCTCTGCTCCACTGCCCCGAGGCTCGGGGATACTAAAAAGCACAGAGGTGGCTGGCAGGAAGTGAGACTGCTGCCC